TCTCCCCCCCTCCTCCACCTCCACCCCCTCCCTTCCCCCCTGTTGGTACACTTCCCTTCCCCATCAAGTTCCAATTTGGGCTGTTGGTCTCCTGAGGATGTGTCCAAAATAAAGAAGGAATTGCCCAGTAGTCGAGGGCAGGGTGTTGGGAAAGTGGGGGTGGGGTGGGGGGGGGTAGTGGGGGAAGGGAGGAGAAAGAGGAGGGGAGGGGGGGGAGGGTGGAGAAAGAGGAGGGGGTGGATATGGAAACCGGTAGGGGGGGGGGGAGGGTGGAGGGAGAGGGAGGGGGGGGGGATTAACCGGGGGGGGAGGGAGGAGGAGAGGAGGGGGGGGATATGAGGAACCTGGGTAGGAGGGGTAGGGTGAAGAGAGAGGAGGGTGGGGGGGTATGGGGAACCGGGTAGGGGGAGTTGGGTGGAGAGAGAGGGAGGGTGGGGGGATATGGGGAACCGGGTAGGGGAGGGAGGGGAGAGAGGTGGGGGGGATATGGGGAACCGGGCGGGAGGAGGGGGGGAGAAGGTGTGGGTGGGGGGAGGGGAGGAGAGGGCAGAATATGGGAAAATAGAGGGGGGAGGGGTAAAGAGGGTGTTGGGTGGGGAGGGGGGGGGGAAGGAGGGAGGATGGGAGGTTTGGAGGGGGAGGTAGGGAAAAGTGGAGTGGGAGAGACTGGGGAGCGTGGGTGGGGAGGAGGGTGGAAGGTAGGGGTGAGGAGGAGGAAGAGTGGGGGCAAGGATGGGGGGGGATAGAAGGGAGGGGGTAGGAGAGGAGGATTGGGAGGGAGGGTGAGGAGGGAGAGGCGGAGAGAGGGTGGGAAAAGGTTTGAAGGGGGGAGCTAAGGGGGGATTGGGTCGGTAAAAAGGAGGAGGAAGGGGGGAGGATGGGGATAGGTGGTGTAGGGGAGGGGAGGGTACGAGGGAGGAGGGAGGGAGCATGGCGCCACCTGAAAACTTAAGATTGTTCAGCGGAAGCAGCAGGTTCTCTCTCTCTCTCCTCTCTTTCCTGTCTCTCTCTCTCTCTCTCTCTCTCTCTCTCTCTCTCTCTCTCTCTTTCTCTCTCCCCCCCCCCTCTCTCTCTCTCTCTCTTCCTCCCACGCCAGAACTTTTTTCCTAATTCCCTCCTCCTCTTTCTACACCCTCCCCCCCTCCACCGCTTACCTCCCCTACACCACATCATTTCCCTCCGCCTATTCCTGTCCTCAGCCTTACCCTCCTCATTTCAATCCCCCATCTTTCTCCTTCAATTCCTTCTCCCTCCTCCCCTCTCTCCGTCTCCTTCCCTCCCCCTCCATCCCCACCCTCTTCCCTTCCCTTCCTCGTTCCTTTCTCCCGTCCTTCTCCCCCCCTCCCTCCTTTCCTCTCTTTCCTTCCCCCTCCTCCTTCTCCTTCCCTCACTTCCATTCCTCCCCTCTTTTCCTCTCCCTCAATTTCCCCCTTTCCCTCCTTCCTTCCCTCCTCCCCTCCCCCTCCCCCCACCCCTCCCACCCTCCCACTCTCCTCTCCTTCCCTCTCCCTCCATCCCTCAATTTCTCCCTCTCCCTCCCTCCTTCCCTCCTCTCCTTCCCTAAACTTCCATTCCTCCCTCTCTTTCCTCTCCCTAATTTCCCTTTCCTCCTTCCTTCCCTCCTTCCTCCCCCTCCCTCCCACCCCCACCCCCCACTCTCCCTCTCCTTCCCTCTCCCTCCATCCCTCAATTTCTCCCTCTCCCTCCCTCCTTCCCTCCCCTCTCATCCTTCCTTCCCTCCTTCCTTTACGCGCCGGTGTAGTTAAGTGTTAAGTCTGTAGCCCAGCGAGTAGGAAATCATTTATTCCTGCATCTTACCTGTTTTTTTTTTTTTTTTTTTTTTTTGCTTCATTTATTCCTTATTTTTTATAGGTGAAGAAAGAGAGTAGAGGGAGTGGGAGATAGGAAAAGAGGGAGAGAGGGGAGAATATCACCACCATAACAATAATCAGAATTGTTATTACTATTAGTGTTATTATTATCATTATCATCATTAATGTTGTTATTATTATTACTATTGATATTATTATCATTGTTATCATTATCATAATTATCATTTTTATTGTTATCATCATTGTTTCTACTTTTATTATTATTAATTATTAATTGTTATCATTATTGCTGTTATTCTTGTTATCACTATCATAGCAATAATCAGCATTGTTATTACTATTAGTGTTGTTATCATCATTATTATCATTAATTTTGTTATTATTAGTACTATTGATATTATCATCATTGTTATCATTATCATAATTATCATTATTATTGTTATCATTATTGTTTCTACTTTTGTTATCTTATTCTTATTATTATTATCATGATTATTACTATCCTTAATATTATCATTAATATTATCATCATTGTTGTTGTTATTGTTATAAACATTGTTGATAATGGTAATATTAATATTGTCATTATCATCATTGTTATTATATTTTTTTATCATTGTCATTATTGTTGTCATTTTTTATCATTATTCTTATTAGTGCTTTTATTATTAGTCTTAGTCTTAGTTTTATTATTAGTATTATCATCTTTGTCATTACTATTTTTCATTATCATCATCATCATTATTGTCATTGTCATTATTGTTATCATTATTATCATCAGTGTTGTAATCATTATCATTATTATCATCAGTGCTGTGATCATTATCATTATTATCATCAGTGCTGTAATTGTTATCATTATTATCATAATCATCATCATTATTACTCCTGTTCATTATCCTCATCCTCATCAGGATCATCTTCAACTTTATTAACATCATTGATGTTATAATCATCCTCCCCTCCTCTTCCCCCTTTCTCTCTCTCTCTCTCTCTCCACCCCCCTCTCTCTATCCCGCACCCCCTCCTCTCTCTCTCTCCTCTCTCTCTCTCTCTCTCTCTCTTCTCTCTCTCTCTCTCTCTCTCTCTCTCTCTCTCTCTCTCTCTCTCTCTCTCTCTCTCTCTCTCTCTCTCCTCTCTCTTCCCCCCCCCCTCTCTCTTCTTCCCACCCCGCTCTCTCTCTCTCTTTCTTCTCTCTCTCTCTCCCGCCCTCCCCCCTCTCTCTCTCCCCTTCTCTCTCTCTCTCTCTCTCTCTCTCTATGTCTCTGTCTCTGTCTCTCTGTCTCTGTCTCTGTCTCTGTCTCTCTCTCTCTCTCTCTCTCTCTCTCTCTCCTCTCTCTCTCTCTCTCTCTCCTCTCTCTCTCTATCTATCTCTCTCTCTCTTCTCTCTCTTCCCTCTCTCTCTCTCTCTCTCTCTCTCCCTCTCTCTCTCTTTCTCCTCTCTCCTCTCTCTTCTCTTCTCTCTCTCTCTCTCTCTCTCTCTCTCTCTCTCTCTCTCTCTCTCTCTCCCTCTCTTCTCTCTCTCTCTCTCTCTCTCTCTCTCCAGGTCCTTCTGTCTTTCTCTGCATTCCATCCATGCACTTTCTCCCCCTTTTCCTTCCTTCCACCCTTACCCTCTTTCTCTTTTTCTCTCCTCCACCTCCTTCCTTTCCTCTTCTTCTTCTCTCCTCCTTCTCTCCTCCTTCGCCTAAGACATTTAATACTTGAGGATCTGATGGTATTAAAGATAATACCGATAAGTTTTTAGCTGTAAAGAGCGGAAGAAAGAACAAAAAAAGAAGAGAGAGAGAGAGAGGGAGAGGGAGAGGGAGAGGAGGGAGAGAGAGAGAGAGAGAGAGAGAGAGAGAGAGAGAGAGAGAGAGAGAGAGAGAGAGAGAGAGAGAGAGAGAGAGAGAGAGAGAGAGAGAGAGAGAGAGAGAGAGAGAGAGAGAGAATGAGAGAAAGAGAGAGAATGAGAGAGAGAGAGAATGAGAGAAAGAGAGAGAATCAGAGAGAGAGAGAATGAGATAGATAGATAGAGAGAGAGAGAAAGAAGTAAATACAAAGAGGGTCGGTGGTTATTGGGAGTGGGGGTATAGAAGAAGGAGAATTGGGGAATGACGAAAGAGAAAGTAGAAGAGGAGATAAAGGGAAAAATGCGATGATAGGGCGAAAGGAAATGAGGAAAGATAAAGATGATAAACGGGAGATAACGAAAAAACAAGAAAAGGGCCCGAAAAAGACAGAAATGAAGATATACAGAAGGATTAAGGACATAACGAATTGGAATATGAAGAAAATGAAAGAAAAGATAAAATAATGGAAAGCAAAGGGAAGAAAACTTAAGATAAAGTAGAAAAAAGGGAGAGGAAAAGTTTGAGAGGGAAAAGAGAAAAAGGAAATAACAAAAATAGTAGTAAAAAAAAAGAAGGGAAAGAGATGGGATAAACATAGAATTAGGGTGGAGAGAGAAGGAAAAAATACGCAAAAAAAAACGTAAAGATAAATAAGAAATTAAGAAATAAATAAATAAAAGAAAGAGAAAGAGGAAAGAAAGGGTATAGGAAGAAGGAAAATAAACTGATCGGGTGAAAAGAGTGACAAAAGAGGAGAGGAGATAAGGGCCAAAAGAGGGTATATCAAGGAGGAAGAATAAAGGGACAGGGGAAAAAGATTTTGGAGGGAGGTGGGGGACGCAGAGGACGGGGGGGGGGGGGAGAGGACGGGACGGGAGGGGGGGGAGGCAGAGGAAGGGAGGGAGGGGAGGGGAGATAGACTTTTGGGTGAGAGGAGAGGTGAGGGAGGAGGAAGGAAGGGAGGGAGGAGGAAGGGAGGGAGGGAGGGAGGAGGGAGGGAGGGAGGGAGGGAGGGAGGGGGATAAAAGAACACAGGGGGAGGCAGAGAGGGAGGCGATGTACAAGGGGATAGAGGGGGGGGAGAGGGGTGTACCCAAGGGGACGGCGGAGCGGCGAGCGCAGGGGGAAAAGGGTTAGTGGGAGAGGGGGAGTGTAGGTGGGGGTTGGGGGGGTTGGGGGATGGGGCACTCACCGGGACCTCATCAAGTTGGGCAAACATGTTTTCCTCAACGCTAGGGTGAGACCAGTAAGTGTCCGGCGAGTCTCGTCGGCTGTCTCCCTGTCTGTGGCTGTCTGAGGCTGTCTAGAAATCTCTCTGGTTGTCTGTGGCTGTCTAGATCTGACTCTGGTTGTCTGTGGCTGTCTGAGGCTGTCTAGAAATCTCTCTGGTTGTCTGTGGCTGTCTAGATCTGACTCTGGTTGTCTGTGGCTGTCTAGATCTGACTCTGGTTGTCTGTGGCTGTCTGAGGCTGTCTAGAAATCTCTCTGGTTGTCTGTGGCTGTCTAGATCTGACTCTGGTGTCTGTGGCTGTCTAGATCTGACTCTCTGGGCTGTCTGAGGCTGTCTAAAATCTCTCTGGTTGTCTGTGGGCTGTCTAGATCTCTCTGGTTGTCTGTGGCTGTCTGAGGCTGTCTAGAAATCTCTCTCTGTGGCTGTCTCTCTGGTTGTCTGTGGCTGTCTGAGGCTGTCTAGAAATCTCTCTGGTTGTCTGTGGCTGTCTGAGGCTGTCTAGAAATCTCTCTGGTTGTCTGTGGCTGTCTAGATCTCTCTGGTTGTTGTGGCTGTGAGGCTGTATGTCTGAGGCTGTCTAGAAATCTCTCTGTTGTCTGTGGCTGTCTGAGGCTGTCTAGAAATCTCTCTGGTTGTCTGTGGCTGTCTGAGGCTGTCTAGAAATCTGTCTCGTGGCTGAAATCTCTCTGGTTGTCTGTGGCTGTCTGAGGCTGTCTAGAAATCTCTCTGGTTGTCTGTGGCTGTCTAGATCTGACTCTGGTTGTCTGTGGCTGTCTGAGGCTGTCTAGAAATCTCTCTGGTTGTCTGTGGCTGTCTAGATCTGACTCTGGTTGTCTGTGGCTGTCTAGAAATCTCTCTGGTTGTCTGTGGCTGTCTGAGACTGTCTAGAAATCTCTCTGGTTGTCTGTGGCTGTCTGAGGCTGTCTAGAAATCTCTCTGGTTGTCTGTGGCTGTCTGAGGCTGTCTAGAAATCTCTCTGGTTGTCTGTGGGCCTGTCTAGAAATCTCTCTCTGGTTTGTCTGTGCTGTCTAGATCTGACTCTGGTTGTCTGTGGCTGTCTGAGGCTGTCTAGAAATCTCTCTGGTTGTCTGTGGCTGTCTAGATCTCTCTGGTTGTGGCTGTCTGCTGTCTAGTCTGGTTGTCTGTTGTCTTTCTGACTCTGGTTGTCTGTGGCTGTCTAGATCTGACTCTGGTTGTGTGGCTGTCTGAGCTGTCTAGAAATCTCTCTGGTTGTCTGTGGCTGTCTAGATCTGACTCTGGTTGTCTGTGGCTGTCTGAGCTGTCTAGAATCTGTGGTTGTCTGTGGCTGTCTAGAAATCTCTCTGGTGTCTGTCTGTCTGGCTGTCTAGAAAATCTCTCTGGTTGTTGTGGCTGTCTAGAAATCTCTCTGGTTGTCTGTGCTGTCTCTAGAAATCTCTCTGGTTGTCTGTGGCTGTCTAGAAATCTCTCTGGTTGTCTGTGGCTGTCTAGAAATCTCTCTGGTTGTCTGTGGCTGTCTAGAAATCTCTCTGGTTGTCTGTGGCTGTCTAGAAATCTCTCTGGTTGTCTGTGGCTGTCTAGATCTCTCTTTGGTTGTGTATGGCTGTCTGAGGCTGTCTAGAAATCTCTCTGGTTGTCTGTGGCTGTCTAGAAAGTGGCTGTCTAGATCTCTCTTTGGTTGTTGTTGGCTGTCTGAGGCTGTCTAGAAATCTCTCTGGTTGTCTGTGGCTGTCTAGAAATCTCTCTGGTCTGTCTCTGTGGCTGTCTAGAAATCTCTGGTGTCTGTAGAAAATCTCTCTTTGGTTGTGTATGGCTGTCTGAGGCTGTCTAGAAATCTCTCTGGTTGTCTGTGGCTGTCTAGAAATCTTTCTGGTTGTCTGTGGCTATCTGAGGCTGTCTAGAAATCTCTCTGGTTGTCTGTGGCTGTCTAGAAATCTCTCTGGTTGTCTGTGGCTGTCTGAGGCGGGCTCTGTCTGTGTGAGTGTGTCTGTGCTACGTATAACGATTTCAGGCTATCTGTGGTTATGTCTGTGTCTATCTATAGCTGTCTGGTGGTCGCTAGGACTGTCTATAACGCGGTTACTGGCTGCAGGTGTCTGGGAGACTGAGTTCAAGGCCTCTATTTGGTTGTCTGTAGCTGTCTGTGACTCGCTACGTCTGTAGTTCTCTGAGGCGGTCTGATGCTTCTATTTGTTATTCTCTTTCTTTATCTTTCTTTGTTATTTACTTAATTAGCTGTTTCTATAGGCCTATCGCTGTTTACGTTCGTGTCTCTGTAAGAAAGAGCATGTCACCGCCTGATGAGGAATCTGTAATGACTCGAAACGTCACGGCACATGATGATGATGACGATGATGATGATAATGATAATAATAATAATAATAATAATGATGATGATAATAATGATAATAATAATAATGATGATGATGATAATGATAATGATGATATGATGATGGAGGAGGGAAGGAGAGGAAGATGATGATGATGATGTGATGGATGATGATGATGATGATGATGATGATGATGATGATGATGATGATGATGATGATGATTGATGATTGATGATGATGATTGATGATGATGAATGATGATGATGATGACGATGATTGATGATGATGATGATGGATGAAAGATTTATGATGATGAGGAGGAGGAGGAGGAGAAAGAGGAAGACGATGATGATGATGTGTGCGTTCTTGTGTCCGTGTGTATCCGAGCGAATCACTGCCTACACGAACGCTCACGATCACACACATGCAAAACACCCACGCTAGCACACACAAAAAACTTCCTTTCCTTTATTTTTTCTCTTTCCTTATCCCCTTCCTTTTTTCTTCGCCTTCTCTTCCCTTTTTAATTCCTTATTTAGCAATGTCGTTCTTTCCTCCCTATGTCTTTTCTCTTTCTTTCTCTTTATCTCCTTCCTATCCCCTGTTTTATCACCCCTTTTCTCCCTCTGTTTCTTATCCCTTCTATCCCTTGTTTTCATTTCTTGCTTTATCATCTCTCTTCCCTTCCCCCCTTTTTAACTCCCTTTTACTTTGCTTCTCTCCCTTCTCCCTCTCTCTTTTGTTTTCCCCGTTTCCCCTCTTCTCTTAATTACCCACTTTCCTCCTCTTCCTTCCCTCCCCCTTTTCTCTATTGCCCCTTCCCTCTTCCTCTCCCTACTCCCCTTCCTCCCCCAACCTACCCTTCCTGCTCTCCCCCCTGCCCTTCCTGCTCCCCCTCCCCCCCTACGCTACCTGCTCCCCCCTACCCTTCCTGTTCCAACCCCCACCTCTCCCCCTAACCTCCCTGCTCCTACCCACCCACCCCACCTCCCTACCCCTCCTGCTCGTACCCCCTCCCTTACCCTCCTGCTCCAACCCCTACTCCCCTACCCTTCCTACTCCACACACCCCACCCCCTAACCTCCCTACTCGAACGCCCTTCCCCCCATCCCTCCCCCTACCTCCCTACTTCGAATCCCCCCCTCCCCTACCCTCCCTACTCCAAACCCCCCACCCCCTAACCTCCCTACTCGAACCCCCTCCCTTCCTCCCTCCCCCTAACCTCCCTACTCCAACCCCCCAACATCCTTCCTCCCTACTCGAACCCCCTCCCTCCCTCCCCTCCCCTTACCATCCTGCTCCACCCCCCAATACCCTAACCTCCCTACTCGAACCCCCTCCCTCCCTCCCCTCCTACTCCAACACCCCCCACCCCCAACCCCACCCCCACCCCTAACCCCCTACTCGACTTCCCCCCCCCCCGCTCCTCCCCACACACGCCCCCTATACTGACCGTCCGAAAGTGATGCGAGGAATCCCGTGAATCTTCCGGAGATGAGGAGATCGGATGACTTGTATCCGGATGCTGTGAATTTTTTTTTTTATTTCTTTTTTTATTTTTTATTTATTTATTTATTTATTTTTTTTTTTTTTTGAATAGCACGAATATCGCAGTGGGGAAGGAGGAGGAGGAGGAGGAGGAGGAGGAGAGGAAGGGAGAGGAGGAGGAGGAGGAGGAGGAGGAGGAGGAGGAAGAGGAGGAGGTATTTAAGATGGGGAGAAATAGGAGGGTGAGAAGAGATAGAGAGGAGGAGGAGGAGGAGAGGAGGAGGAGGAAGAAGAAGAAAAGGAGCAGAAGGCGGCGGGGTGGGTGGGGGGGGGGAGGAGCAGGAGAGGAGAAATAAGAATTGTGGAAGAAGAGGGGGAAGAGAAGGAGAAAGAAAACAGGAGGAGGAGGAGAGAGAAGATGATGATGATAATGATAATGAAATAAATGATAAATGATAATGATGATGATGACAAAATATTAAACAGACAAAATATTAAAAGAAAGATGAAAGAACCAGGACTAACGAATAAAAGAAGAGAAAGAGGAAACAGAAGAACCCCAAGAGAAGGAGGGGTCAGAGGGAATGAACATTCCAGCCCCGACAAAGGAGAGCAGTAAAGAGGAAGTAGAAAACAAGTGCCAAAAGAAGGGAAGAAGAGAAAAGAGGGAGAGAGGGGAGAGGAGGAAGAAGGGGGGAGAGAGGAGGAGGAAGAAGGGGGGGGAGGTGAGAGAGGGGAGGGAGAGGAGAGAGGGGAGTGAGGGGGGGAAGGAGAGAGGGGAGAAGTTGAGGAGGAAAAAGGTGGGGAGGGGGAGAGAGGGGGAGAGAGTGGAGGGAAGAGGAGAGGGAGGAGGAGGAAGAAGGGGGGAGGGGGAGAGAGGGAGAGGATGAGGAGAGAGGAGGGAGGAGGGAGAGAGAGGAGGAGAGAGAGAGGAGAGAGAGAGGAGACAGGAGGAAGGAATAAGGGGAGAGAAGAGAGAGAGGAAGAAGGAGGAGAAGAGAGAGAGGGGAGAGGAGGAGGAGGAGAAGGGGGGGGGGGGAGAGCTGTCATGGAATGCGGAGAGGAGGAAGGAACGCTCTCTAATGTCCTTCACTATTCTTTAATATCCTGCTCTGTCTCCACCTCAAGAATTAATCACATGACGTCTAGAAGTAAGCTCAAAAGAGTCACTTAAGTATCATTGATAATGGTAAAGATGGCGGAAATGAAAGGAGAGAGAGAGAGAGAGAGAGAGAGAGAGAGAGAGAGAGAGAGAGACGAGAAGAGAGAGAGAGAGAGAGAGAGAGAGAGAGAGAAGAGAGAGAG